GGCCACTGTCGGGCGATGGCTGGCGCGCGCCCGGCCTTGAGCGCGCGCGTGGGCGGCGCCGCTCAGGCCGACATCCGGCGGGGCGCCGCGCGAAAGCTAAGTTTGCGAACAATCCCGCGGCGTTGGTCGCGCAGAGTGTCGTCGGGCGGAGCGCGCCAGCGATGGGATTTGCGTGATCGAATGTAGGCGGCCCGCCGGCGCGGCAGTTCGGCAGGCCGGCCATCGGCCTGCGCCGCGCCCTTCCTGTCCGAGGGGGGGGGGTCGTCGCTGCGCGTTGTGATCGGTCTTTCGGCAGGTTCGGGGCGGCTGCGGGGATGGAGCAAACCAAGAGCGCCCAGTCAATGTCCCCCAGCTTCTCAGAATCGACATTTCAAAAAGGCAAGCAATCGGCATCCAGCGATGCCCCAGCCGCAGCCGAAATGCCAGCGCCACCCTCAGCAAAACAACGCCCCTGTTCACGATGGCAATCGCGCCCGCGACCGGCTTGCAGGAATCCCCCGACCGATGCGGGAAAAGTCCCAGGACGGTTCCCAGAAATGCCCGCGACCGAGCCCCGGGCTTCCCGCGGCTACCCGAGACCGCCCGCCCGCCCCGCCCGATGCCAACAGAGCCGCCACTTGGCGCCCGATAGCCGAAACAGCAACTGGGCGATCTACCCGCGGAGCCGCCAACCAATATCACCCGAAAAGGGCTGAGCGATATGCTAGCCCAAGCCGTGTTAAGCAAGCCGCCGACCGATTTGCTTAATTGTGTCCGACCTGTCTCCGCTAACCGTTCCCGACGCGCATCCAGTAGCCCCTTATCGATATTCCGAACGCCCCCGACCGATATGTGAAACGTTTCATCCATATCAGTTGTTTAATCAGTGGTGATAAAAGTATTCACGCGCTGCCGCCATGATCGCAGATCTTAAGCATGCATGGTGTCTCTCTGGTATCTAGAAGACGCTCCGTCCTTTGGGCGCCCCCTCGCTTTTATCCGCTATTGCGGGCATATCCGTGCGACGAACTGATGCGTTGGTGCCCTGCGCCGGCAACGAAGCAACAGCATCATGAACAGCACGCGCCGAACAATAACAGCAACATGCCGACTGAAAGGAAGAGCCTCCATATAGCAAAGACCAAAAATCACATGCCCGCGGGCGCTACAGAAGGCCCCGATTTAACCTCCAATGTGGCACCGACAGTTCCCCACAGGGCTCTCGCAAGACAGAATCCATGGCTTCCCCCCGCCCTCTTCGCATCTCCCTCAGAGGATGCGCCTATGCAGTGAGTCCATGAACATGCCATTGCGTGGGGTTGCGTTGCCTCGGGCAATGCTTTGACGGGGCTGCGCGCTACAAGGCATTGCGTTGCCTTGTCTCCAGATAAACGCATTGCGCTGCGTTGCACGGGGGCCGCGCAAAGGGGTACCGCTACACCGCAACGGACGCATTCCCTTGCACGCGGTTCTTGTGACGTGACAGGACAGCGGTGTGCTTCTTCCTCCGCGGGAAGCGGGGCCCGTGGCTGGAGAGATTCGGATTCGTGTTCGTGCTTCTGGCAGCGCGCAATCATTCTCCAGCCAAAGGGTATGGTTGTTTATAATATCGTGGCCTTCGGCCCATCCCGCCGCCGTGCCTGGGTTGTGGATCAGGGGCCGTTCGGGCGGTCAATCGGGTTTCGTGGTAGACCTCTCGGAAGCTCTTTGAAAGCAGTTATGGGAACTCTTGGGGGCCGTGTTTGAGCCTCCTGGGGTGTCTGTTGGGTTTGTCGGTGGCCTCTTGTGGCCTTTTGGGGGTCTTTTTGGGATTCTGGGCCCTTTCAAGAATCCTTGCTCCAGAAACAGGGGCCCTGGGGCCCCACCTGAGATTCTTCAGGAATTTTGGTGTCTGGGCTTTTTTGCGGATCTTCCGACCGCAGGGCTGAGGACTACAACGGCGGACCTGCAGACGCTCCATCTCGTGCTTGGCGGCACGATAGCGGGCATGTGGTCGGGGCGCTAGACTTTCGGCACTTCGTGATTTAAGCGTTCGCCTCATCCAGCATCGCCCTCCTTGCTCAACTGACTGGGCAATATGACTTCGATCATATTGTTGGCCAGCATACGAGTGTAAGTGTCAAGGTTTCTGTGCAGTCACCGCGCGTCGCCTTTCATTATCATGTCCCATTGCGCCTTAGTTCGGGAATTATTTGTACCGCTTGGCTACTTTCGGCCCCGCGCTCAGTGCAGGGCAGCATCTTGACTGCCGAGGCTGCATGAGCAGCGTCGCTGGGGCGAGCCACGTCGGCAGCCAGTGAGGTGGCGGTGGCGGTGGCAGGAGACCTCCAAAGGGGGGTGGTAAGTGGAGTGCATCGCTCGCTTCCCATCGTCAAAGGTTTCGCCCCGAGGGCAGCCAAAGTTGGTTCCGCATTCAAGTGCAGAAAGTGTAATGCCTTGTCCAACTAGAAGAAAGGGTTCGATACTCAGACTATCTGCATCAACCAAGATGGCGACAAAACGAGGATTTCGAGCGGCCGGCCGGCGATGCCTGCGACGGCTGCGGCAACGCTCACAAGAAGGGCTTCAGCCATTTATCATGGGAGGCTTTCTGCGAATTACTCATGTCCGACCCCGACCAGCACGTGGAGATCGAGACCGTGGAGAGGATCATGTCGGGCGAGAAGAAGGAATTCCAGGACGCCCGGGTGAGCGTCTCCTGCTCCTCTATTTATATTTTTTTTTGCTCTCTCTCTCTCTCTCTCTCTCTCTCTCTCTCTCTCTCTCTCTCTCTCTCTTTTTTTTTTTTTTTTTTTTTTTTTTTTTTTTTTTTTTTTTTTTTTTTTTTTTTTTTTTTTTTTTTTCTCCTCCTCTCCTATCTCTCTATCGCCCCCCGAATGTTCGTCGTCCTCTTCCTTCGCTTCCTCTTCCCCTTCCAAGTGGTGGCGGGGGGTGGGTGGGTGGGTGGGTGTCCGAACGACTCACTTCCCCTTCATCGCCCTCATCCTCGCCCTCGCCCTCCCAGGGTTCCGCTGTGCACAAGACGGCAACGACGTGCCTCGAGCTCATGGCCCCCGTGGTTGTCTCGGCTGCTATGGATCTCATGAAGGAGATGAATTGGTTGAAGATGCCGAAACACATCAAGAGCATCACGGCGATCGAGATGCCCAGCCAGAGGAAGTTGACCCCCTCCAGTTCGAGTGCAGCTCCGATGACGCAGACCGACTACGACGAGCTATTCTGCTTCCGCGACCCGTGCAAGCCCCATCGCGATGGGATGCTCGCGCAGACAATCGGCGTGTCGGTCGATCAGACCACCTTGTCTGATCAGCTCTGGGGTGGCCAAGCAGGCAAGGTGGCCGATGCATCCTCCAGGGAGTTTGGCGCGCAGCTTGGCTTGAACGACGTGGCGAGCCAGTGCCGTGCCGCGGTGGCGCTCGACGACTTCAAATGGGAGAGGGAGGGGTCCAAGGTGAAGTCGCAGCTACTGTGGGGGGTGCTGCCGACGGCGGGATGGTGGTGGACGTCGACGCGATGATCGGGCTGGGCGTCGGCGCTGCCTGGTCGAGCCGAAAACGCGGCTCCTCGACTGCCGCGCTGGAGCAGGGATCGCCGCTAGCAGATGTCATTGGCGGCGCGCCTTGCTCGGGGGGCAAGACATCTCGATCGCGTGATCCAGAGCCGTCCCCGTCCGAGGCCCCTTCGTCGCTCGCCGCGTCGGCCGTGGCCACCGCCGTGAACGAGGGCGACGACGTTGGCGACTCCAGGTTGGAAGGCTTCCGGACCATTCCAGAAACCTTGGTTCTGGAAGTCCTTGGTCCAAGGAGGTTTGGGCAGAGAGCGCGCGAAGTGAAGCTTGAGGGCCGCGCGGGGGGGGTGGGGGGGGGGCGACCGAGGGGGCTGCGCGGAGGCCGGGGATGCGGGTGGTGACAGGGGTTGCCAGATCAGCAGGACGAGGGCGAACAGGACAATGAGGGGGGAGGGCGACGAGGAGAATGGGGGGGGGGAGAGGGGCGATGAGGCGGGGGGGATGAGGAGGGCCAGCAAGCGGAGGAGAGGGGGCGACGTGGGCGTAGCATTGCAAACTTGCATCCGCGGTGTAGCAATGCAGAAGAGGTGTCGCGTGAGATCCCAGCTGGTTCCAGATTTTAGCCAATTCGTGCGCGTGTTTAGCCGCCGCCAAGGGGGGGCGGGGGGCTCTTTGAAGAGGGCGGTGGCGTGCAGAAGTCGATGCTGCGTCCGCGTCGTTTTCCCGTGTCCTCCTCCTTCCCTGGCCCCTGTCGTCAGTTTTCTATTCGTTCGCCCGATTGGCTCTTCATCCGAGCGCTTCGTTTCCAGATCTCCTCAGGCGAGGCGCTGCTCCAGAGGAAGGTGGGTCGCCTGCCGTTGACAGATGTGATGGCGAACCGTCGAGGGAGGTTGGGGCCGCGCCGTGGAGGCCCGTCAGAAGGCTCAGAAGAATTGGCCGCACAAGATGAGCGCCAAGAGATGGGCTCGAAACTCCAGGACCACATCGTGCTAGCTCATCAGTGCTTGCAGCTGTCTCTTGCATCGATGCCCACTCTCGCTCGCGATAGGCTGCTGAGTATTGTGAAGAATCTGAAAGACTAGAATGTGGAGCTCGCTCTTTCGACTCGGCTCAGTTTGTGCGTGAAGGAGGCTGGCAATATCATCTCGGTGTTTATGGGGCCCGCGGGTGTCGGCGCTGCGGAACGTCGAACGCAGTTGTTGCTGAAGACTTTGCCTTTCGCTGTCGAGTCTAAGGGTGCGTGCGATCCACTGACGCCCTCGCGCACAACGGTCGACCTTCCCGATGAGGTGAAGTCCGATGTTTGTACCGGGGTTCTCCGGGCATCTTTCCTCGTTCCTCGCATCTACGATGGTCAGGGTTGCTTCAGGCGCGCGGGCAGCTTCACCTGTTTGTTAGCCGCGCACTTTTCGCCGATCGGCAAGGTTATTTCGGCGGTGATGAGGCGCAGATGGTCAGTGACATTTGTCATATCAACGCAGCATTCGGTTGTCTGGCGGGGGGCCTCGACGAGGCCGCCGCGAGCAGCGACTCCACCCGGGAGTTCATCGATGCCGCGAGGTCGGGTTCCACGGGGCGGTGGGCCCCAGCGGCCAACGCGTCCACGCGCGCGCCCTTCTACAAAGACCAACTCTTGACGATCATGAAAGACATGCTGTCCATGGGTCCCGTGAGGGAGGCAGTCGAACAAATCTGGCTGAAGCTGAACAGCAGCAGCAACTCCGTCGTCGGAGATGGCCTCGACGATGCAGCAGCGTTAGTGGCCGACTACGCTGATCGCGCTGGCGATTGGTTGACGCCGTTCGCGGACAGCATCCGGGGTGCAGCTGAGATGTGGCTCGACAAGAGCGTCGACATGGATTATGTGTTCGAGTGCGGCGTGGGCGACGTTTCCGACAGCGCTGGCGTCGAAACCAAGCAGGAGATAGCACGCGAGGTGCAGCGGGTCGTGCGCGAGCTGAGCTTGGCTTTCCCGACATGACTGCGCTGCAGGGGTTGTTGCTGAAAACTTCTACCGAGGCGAGGGTCACCGCGAAGTTCGAGGCCGCTCTGCTGGACTTTGACGAAGTCCTCCGTTCCGGCGCCGCCCCGTCGGCACAGAAGGTGAAGACGTTCGATTCGGTGCTCAGTCGCCGCGGGGCCAGCGAGCACTCTTGCAATTCGGAGTCGCAGAATGTGTTCATGACCTGCACCATGAAGACGGCGGCTCTGAAGGAGGTGTCCCTGGACCTCAGTTGGCATGAAGTCATCGGGTTACTTGTCGAGGCGTCGACCTTCTACTACGGGGCCGACCTGGCGCATGTGCGCGAGATGGTCCAGGCCGTCATGGCTGCGCTGACGGACGTGCAATCGGTCAAGAACGCCACTGAATACTGCGATGCGGACGACTGGGGCCCCACGTGGAAGACTTTCGCGGAGATCGTGTTGCGCTATCGGTTCGGGCTCGGGAAGCTGCTCAGGGCCTTAAGGTGCCCGGCGAGCCCGGGGGTCCCGATCCCGCTGAGAACAAGACGTCTGCGTGTCAGGAGATGATCGAAGGGTTCCTCCGCATCGAGGCCGGGTTCAAGATCGCGCCGATGACTATCCGAAGAAATGCCGAGGCTACGAGGAGAGCAAGACCTCTGAGATGTTAGGGAAGCTGTCGATGTTCATCAATACATTTTTGTTAACGGGCTTTCTTAGAGAGCTCTATATGAAGGCCGTGTGATGCGCTCTGGGGTCTAGGGGCCCTGAGCGCTCGAACCTCCCCCCCTCGGGCCTAAGACTGGAGGGGGTGGGGCAGCATGCGGAGCAGGTGCAGAATAGATGTCCATAGCGTGTTGGATCTAGCTTCGACGAGCAGCAGCCCTCTCGTGCCTCCCTTTGAGCGCGCGCGGGATTGCAGCCACGACGCGCCTTTCCTGGCTCGCCGCTTGCGTGCTCGGCACCGCCCTGGTGCAGGAGGACGCTGTTGAGGATCTGCTGAACTACGCGTCGGGCGAGTTCGGCAACTTTCTGTCAGGCTCTCCGCTGCTTCTGGGAGACCTCGAGGCCGAGCCCGAGTCGCCCTTCGACGAGCCCAGTGTCGACGCGGAGGACGTCGACCCGTGCGAGGACGAGCCTGAGAGTCAGCCTATGCCCTTCCAGCGATGGAACAGGATCTACTACCGCCCGAGGGCGGATTCCAACCAGGGCTTCACGATGCTCCTGGTCAGCAAGTTCAGCGCCACGTTGGGCGAGAATAGGTGGGTCTGCATCGACCCGACGGGCAGGCTCCAGGTCCTGGACCTCGGCCAGCCGGCGAAGGTGAAGTCGACGAAGTTCGTGGGCGTGAACCGCGGCACTTTCCAGGGCCTCTCCGCAGCGGAGAAGCAAAAAGCCATCGAGGCAGCCGACCGCATCATCGCGACAGGGTCCGCAGCTACGACGGAAAAGATCACCAGGGACCACCATCCCCGAGGCGGAGGCGCTGCTGGTCGCAGATCCCACCGCCGCCATGCGGTGTCGTGGCTCATGAAGCTGTGCTCCAACCTCGTCGGCTACGTGTGGGCGCGCCGGAGCTTAGGCACTGCTGCTGGCTCGACGTTCGTGCTGTGGCGGGCCGTCGTCTACCTCAACGTGGTGGAGTGGGTGAAGTGGGGCTACGCGTCGCTGAAAGAGACCGTGGACACGGTGGAGCACTTCAAAGAGGAGATCGAGATGGTGCTCGAGATGCACGAGTCAGGAGCCCTCGAGCCGCTCTACTTCTCAGTGATGGTGATGCTCGTGAGTGGCTTCTTCATGTCTTGCTGCAGGTCCTCACGTCCCTCGCCAGCTCCCTCATCCACAACGTCTTCTGGTACCTCAGCTCCTGCTCTTCCTGGCTGGAGCTGGCCCTTATGGCCGGCCGCACCGTCACCGAGCCAGTCTGGATCATCGACTCCCAGGGACGAGGGCACCCAGGTGTCAGACGGCGAGGATTCGGACTCGGTGGGAGGCGAAGTTCTGAGGCAGCTGGGTATGGTGGCCGAGAGGCTCTCTGCTCTCGAGGAGCGGCAGGCGTCGCGCCCGACGGAGCCTCCTCAGTCCACTCCGCCTCCTCAGTCCACTCCAGTTCCGTCAGCACCTCAACCCCCAGCGAAGCCTGGAATCAGCGCGGACAGCTACGACCAGATGATGGGGGCTCTCCTTCAAAGGCTGGACCGCCACAAGGAGATGGTGGAGCAGGACGGCATGGCTGTGACTGCCAGCGGGTCCGAGCCGCGGCTGGTCAGCTCCACGTCCAACCCCGAGATCGACTCGCTGGTCAAGGGCCTGGACGACTCCTTCAAGGACATGCGCGAGGTCGCCAAGGAGAAGTTGCAGGCCTGCTCCAGCGACGTGGCGTGGACGATCCCAGGAGGCATCAAGACGCGAGTGGCCCCATCGATGGTCGCTCGCCTGTACCGCAGTGGGGCTTCAGCGGTGGCGAGCGCCAGGGAGATGATTCGCACGAAGCAGGTGGACGGCAACCACATGGCGGAGGAGGTTCTCCTCATCGGCATGATGCTCGATCGGTCCATGGTGGAGGCGCCCGCGGACTGGATCAACTACAAGACGACGGAGCTGGCGATGCGGCGCCTCCACGGCATCGAGAGGGCCTTCGAGAACGTCAAGCAGAGGTCGGACTGGAAGCCTCCCAACGGCTCCAAGGCCGGCTGGAAGTCTCGCGTCAACTACGCCCTTCTGGAAGAGCTCGACACGTCCAAGTCGGATCAGGAGGGGCTGCTCGTCGACGGCGTGGAGAGGGAGCTTCGCGAACGCTTGGCTCATCGCGCCCTTCTCGCCAAGTCCCTCGACAAGCTGCAGGGCAAGAATCACGCGCCAAGCAAGGACGACTGAACGCTGGCAGGTGCTCACGATTCAGGCGCTTCGCGAAGCGCATTCTCTTGGCGGCCATCATCTTCGAGGCTGCCCACATCTACCACAACTTGCACAGCGTTATTTTCCTAATTTCTCATCACGATGAGAGCGGAGGTCGAATTCCCATCAGAATGTCGAGTGCGCGACCCCTTGGAGGTGCTGCCGCTCCTGCCGGCGCCGTCTCTCCCTTCATCTCCTTCGGGGCGGTCGAGGTCGCGTTTCGCCCAGGAGCGAGCGATCAGGGTCAGGACGAACGCCGCTCTGAGGTCCTTAGCCGCGCTGACGACGAACTCCTACCACGACCTGCGGTACTCCAGTTTCGGATCCTCCAAGGAGTGGGACACGAGCCACGAGTTGCCGCGCAGGATCTCCGAGAGGGTGCTGCAGTGCCACCGGGGCGCGCACGATCAGAATATGTACGACTCCGACGCCGAGTCCGCTTTCGAGCGGCTGGCCTTGCATGCCAAGCCTGGGGCCTACTTGGGCATCAATGTATCAGACAAGGACGACGACGACGTGCCGCAACGAGGGAAAGTCATGCCCTTCGCGAGCGGCGAGGCGTCTCTGCCTCCAGCAGGGACGCAGCCATGCGACGTGAGGATGATTTCACCGAAAGCGAGATACTACTTCGACAGATTCCACGAGAGGATGTGCCTGCCGCCCAGCCAGGCCGACGAGGCCGACATCGAGAAGACGAGAGCCTACATGGACCCCAGTTTGACGAGCAATCAGCTCGCCTCCAGTTCGCGCTGAGACTAATGGAGTCAGGCATGCTCGGCTTCACGGAAATCTGCAAGGCGGAGGTCTCGGTCTTCTTCGTCATGAAGAAGGTCAACGAGGCAGGCCAGCTCATCCTTCGCCCAGTCTGGGACCTGAGGCAGGTGAACAAGCGCTTTCAGAAGCCATCGCACCTCTCTCTGGGGTCTCCGATGGCGATGGCGGAACTGGACCTATCCGACGAGATCACAGAGGGCAGGGTCTTGCAGTCAACGTGGGGAGACGTGCCAGATTATTTTCACAGATGCAAGAGCTGCAGCGAGCTGTGGCCGTACATGGTGTTCGGGGGCGTGACGATCCCCCAGCTCTTGAAGGAGCTCAAGCGACAGGGCAAGGAGATCCCGAGGGTCCCGAAAGGGGCCCGCTACCTGTGCCTGGTGGTGATGCTGATGGGCTTCAGCTGGTCACCCGCGATCTGTCACGGTGCTCTGGAGGACCTTCTGTGCGATCTACCCGGCTTCCCGCGGGGAGCCCAGCTGGTCCACGGGCGTGTCCCTCCCAGCTTCTCCGAGACGGTCTTCATCTACTGGGTGTTCATGGACGACTTCGCCTCGATGACGTTGCAGCGGGACGAGAAGAGCGAGGTGACGGAAGCAGTTCGCGACCACGATGGGAAGAAGCTCAAGGAGGTGGGCCTCGACATGCACAAAGACGGAGTCGGGGCAGCGATGCCTCTCTCTCTCTCTCTCTGGGCGTGACGATCACTCAACGCCCTCATCGCTTGATGGCAGCGCAGGAGAAGGTCAATCATGTCATTGGTGCGACCAAGGCTCTCCTGGATCGAGGTCGAGCGACTTCAACCGAGCTATCAAGGATAATTGGGTCGTGGGTGTGGTTGGCGATGTGCTGTCGGGCCGCCCTCTGCATGCTGGACGCCTGCTACAAGTTCGTGACAAAGTACGGCGACGACGAGCAGGTTCACATCCTGTGGGAGAGCGTGACCAACGAGCTGTACATGCTGTGCCACCTGGCCCCGCTGATGTACACCCACTTGGAGTCGCAGTGGAGCCCCAGCGTCTTTGCGACGGACGCAAGCGAGGAAGGCCTGGGAGTAGTCGAGACGACAGCAAGCCGAGAATAAGTCCAAGCCCAAGTAAACCGACAGTGGAGAGCCGAACATCTTCGAGACATGGCCAGGGACGAGGAGGAGGAGGAACTGCTCAGTGGCGAGAACCTCGAGCGAGCCAGACGAGGCACCCCCCCAGTGGTGATCGATGGCGAGGTCCCTCCGATGAAGTTCATGGCCGACATCTTCTCGGGGTACGGCGGCTTCGGGCAGGCGATCCGCGAGGAGTTGCAGTGCCAGACCTTGTTCGTGGACAACGCACAGCAGGCGCGCCACGACCTGCTGGACCCGTCCTTCGTCGAGCTCGTCTGTCGTGCAGTTATTCGGCCCCTCTTCTTCATGGTCCACTTGGCCCCTCCGTGCTCCAGTTTTTCACGAGCACGTCGACCTCCCTTGCGAGCTCCAGGCCGTTGGATACGTGGTCTCCCCGGGCTTTCTCCTCAGCAGGTTCAGAGAGTACGGGAAGGCAGCGCCTTGGCGCAGGCAGCGATCTCGATTTGCTATGCTTGCCTGGCCTCAGGAACAGGTTTTTCACTGGAGAATCCCAGGATTTCGATGATCTGGGACCTCCCCGACATGGCGAAGTTGCTGACGATGAATGGAGTTCTCGTGGTGGAAATGGTGTGCTGTCTCTCGGAGCCCGATGGAAGAAGCCAACTCGGATACTGACCAACGTACAGGCGCTGAAAGAGCTGGAGTGCAAGTGCTCTCAGGATCGCGATCATCAGGAGCTTCGGGGACGCGACTCTCAAGGACGACTCTGGACACGCCTCGCAGCGATCTG